CGCTGCGGCGGCGGCGGCGGCGGCGCGTTCCGCGGCGGCGGTGGCGGCGGCGACGGTGACGTGGGCGGGAATGTTGGCCCTGCAGGTGGGGCACGCCTGCTGCTGCTGGAGCCACATGCGGAGGCACCTGCAGGAAGGGGTGTTGTTGTTGAGGTTGCTGCTGGTGGCTTCGTCACACGCTGGTCTCTCTTGGCACCCCTACGAGGTGGATATATTGCTGCTGCTGCTGCTGCTGCTGCTGCTGCTATGGTTGTTGTTGTTGCTGCTCGCGGTGGTGGTTTTGGTTATATATACTACAGCTCTCGCGGGACGCTCCTTGTCGTGAACTTTTCCAAGCGTTGGTTACAATGGCACGAACGGCCTTCGGCGGGGGAGTGCATACTTTCCGACAACGTCCCTATATCAGAAAGGTATGCAAAGACATCCATGCTCATTGCGACGTCCAGCAATCCAAGCGCATCGTTATTGCTTCCCAAAAAAGCTCCATCATCTCACGACATACAGGAAAGTCTTGGTCCTCACTGAAAGTGGAAGATATGCCCGCAAGGCAACTTTTTCCCGGCGTCCATGGTGTCCCGGCAGATAATGCACGTGTGCTCGCACTCCGCCAACTCTTCCTCGGTCGCGTCCGGGAAACGCTCGTCCATCGTGTTGGCCAGCTGCCGATATCTGCCCAAAAGAAAAAAGAAAAACAAGAGGCGGGAAAACCACAGTCAGTATGAACAACATAAGGGACCAAGATATCCGAGGGCATCAATAGCCACAGCGGATGACGAGAGAGAGAGAGTGAGAGTGTGAGAGAGAGAGAATGGCGAAAACCTCGAGCAACCGAAACCCACCCTGCTGTTGGTCAAGGCTCATTTTCTAGATGGTTACACTTCACACATCCAGGTTCTCTCAACCATCGGCCAGCCAGTTTGTGATATCCGACACCACCATAAAAATGATGCCACCTTGAGAATGAAGCAGTACGACGCTGGGATCGAAAGTTCACACTTACAGTGCTCAATATCGCTATCCCTTATCCCGGCATGACCCTTAATGCAAACCCTACCCAGACAATGGACTCGCATGAAGAACCTCTACCATCTCCTACCCCGCTCCGAAAAAACATTGTCAGCAGCCTTCAAATTCCAGCGCGGCCCAAACACCAATCCGGATCGAAACCTCTTCACCGTGATGGGAAATTCTAACTCTGATGGGAAACCCATGACCCTGGTGGGAAATCTCTTCACCATGATGGGAAACTCTTAACCCCTGACGGGAAACCAATTACCCTTACGGGAAACCACCAACCCCGATGGGGCAATCGCCAACCCTGATACGGAACCCCCCATCCCTGGCTGGAAAAGAACGAGCCTGACCTGTAGAAGGCCTGAAGGCGCCGCTGAAGCCGGTCGAAGGACATGTACACGTCGCGGATGAGATTGAGAGGGGGCACCCCGTACAGGGAGAACATCACACCGAAGAATATCACGTAGAAGGAAAACTTGAACACCTGGTGGCGTTTGGTTGCAAAGGCATGGAAGTACACCGGCGGGGCGGCGGGCAGGGGTTATCAAAAACTCATCAAAGACATGCTCATCGTGGTCTCCGGCATGTTGCACAGAAGGAACTTCACGCCATCGATCCTGGGCGGCAGCCTACAACACCTCCCGGATTATGCCAGTAGCCTTTGCAAGGATATCAAGCTTGGTTTTAGTAGGGGTAGCGGGGTTGGGGGTGAGGGTAACGGCTAGGGGTACGAATCCCCCCTCTCTATTTCACATTGAACACTTGAGGATATTAAGCTTGTGTGTAAGTAGGAATTGCTTGTGTGTAACTAGGAATTGCGGGGTCGGGAAGGGGGTCAGGGATGGGGTCACGAACCCCCCGTCTCGATTTCACAACAATCCTCGCCAAGGCGGTCCGAGTGTGCCTGTCGCGCCGAGCTCCGAGCAAAGGACGCAGGCGTAACGAGGACACAAGCCACGATCCACGCGCAGCTACTGAGCATTTGACTATGGAGAATGCCTCAGCATTTCCACACAACACTCTGTACACGCCTCGTTCTACCACGTACACAGACCCCACCTCAGAGAAAAACTCTAGCAGCATCACCCAGGTCGCCTTCGCGTGCCAGGCCCCCTCCATCCGGTTGTCCACGACGTGCAGGAGCAGGTGTACAGCAGTGGAGAAGGCTGCGATCGACAGGATGGCGTACTCTGAAGCAACACCGGGACGACAAAAAAAAAAAAAAGGCCCACGGGGACAACAGCAACGGCGAACATGAGACGACCAAGCAACACCGGCCATTGCAGCGGTGGCAGGGGCGGTATCAGTGGCACACAGCAGCAGCATGGCATCAACATTTTTTGTGCCACTCTTTTTCGGCGGACGGGTAAGGGAGGACCAAAGGAAATGCCGAAAGCAATTTTGTGTGGCTTTGTTTCACGGCACAACGTGAACGAACGAGAGAGGCCGCGATCTTTCGAGGTGCAAAAATAAATAATACACATATAATTACACGGGTATTTACCAGCATCAACCCGGGTATTTACCGGCTGTTGCGTGGGCTCACTCCACAGCCACACCACGACGCAAAAAAAAAAAAAAAAAACAAGAGGAGGGGGGGAAGGGAAAGAACGAAACAAGCTGGTACATACACACGCAATAAAGGGGAGCGACAACTCACCGAACGCGAACAGCACGAGGGAGCTGACTTGGTCCACGGGGATGTTCTCGAGGCAGTACGTCACCATCAGCCCGTCCACGACCAGGGTGATGAACACCAGGCTGCAGAGGCGCGCCATAGAGGATAGGCTCTGCTGCCCCGCTTGCTCGAAGTGTTCCACACGCGCCTGAGAGCAAGGTTTCGAGGGGGCACACGGGAACAGGGAAGGGGGGGCGTACTATTGTGTTTTGCCTGCCTTAGCTTATTGACCACGCATCCTCGAGAGGACGGAGAATTGGTCCCACAGGATCGATCATTGATGGCCAATCGTTCCCTCCTACATCGCTAAATGTGGCTGAAAAAAGGAACGCGCGGGAGGGATTGCTCAATGACGATTGACCACCCATCATTGCTGATAACGAAGCTCCGATATGTAGTTCCTTCACTATCAATGCGCGCGGGAGGATTGGGGTTTTGTTCAAGAAATCCGTATGCGCCCTGCACGGTTGTCGCTACAAGGTAGGGGATGACCAAGGCCTATGAATGAATAATCAAAGAGCGCACAGTCAAAGGGTATGGACGATTGCATATCACGTGCATTTTCATGTGCGATATACATTCTTCGACGTACCGTCGTTACCAGGTTTGACCTACACGGCTGTCTTCGCTTTAAATGTTCCAACCGGATGGAGCTGAAAACCGCACGGTCGTAGCCACAGGCGTAAACCAAAACTTCGTGGGTAACTTGCCGCCGTTTCGACGTGCGTGACACAACGCCCCCCGGGGGTTTCCAGGAGGCCCTGTGGTTGAACATATACCCCAAACGTGTTGGAAAAAAAAAGTGTTGAAAGAAAGTACGCGGGATATCTTCAACCCTTCAAGCCCGCCTTTACTTTCACAGCGAGCCCCTTCTCTAGCAGCAGCGGTCAAACGCATGGATACACAGCAGTGTCCAAAAGTACGCGCGCCAATCAGCACAGCCGACTGACTCACCCTCGAGAGCCAGTGGAAGGCCTTGACCAAGAGCAGTTGGATGAACAGCGCGATGGTGACGGCCGTGAGGTCGCCCCTGAAAACAGTCAGGGCTAGGCAGGTCTCGGTGAAAGCGTACCGGGCGTTCTCGTACATGACCTGGGTTTGTTGGTTTCGGTTTGATCGGTCGACACGGGGCGCAAGAGCAGGGCGACCAGCGGGCGTGCACGTTAGTCATGGTATCATCAACGTAATGTACCCCGCCAACCTTCCATTGAACGAATCTCCGAAGCGTCCAAGAGAGGGAGAGCTCAACGCTCCTACCAACGCCAAGTCAAAGCTACACAAGGTGTGACATACACCCCTCGTGCATCTCCTTGCCTCGGCATCCAGTCTCTCCGCGAAAGCTCCGACTCAAATCCATGCCTCACATGGGGATATTTACAAACACTCGTCTCCGCTTCAAGGACACTGATGGTTTTTATCAAAACACTAGTAGTGTCCTGAAGGCCGGGCAAGTGCGGATAAAATCTCGCCCCCCTCCCTTGTTCTTGCATCCTGCGGGGCACCATGGCTCTGAAAAAATACGGTGTCCTTAAAGCGGGGACCCGTACGGACACTCGTGGTTTTTCTCCAGGAACCGCATCCCGAGGGCAGGCAAGTGTTGCCACCCTCATCCCCTCAGATTCTACGGGGCACCACTATTCCAAAAAACATGGTGCCCTCAAACGATGCTACAAATGCTGTTTTACAGTTCCCATCTGGGTCCCCGATCACCTCAATTTCGATGTCCCTCAGAGGCCCGAGGAAGAGCATGCTCACGAGCCTTCCCATGCCGATGGCCATGACGATTGCCCAATTGCCGAGGGCAGCCTGCGCAAGCTTGTTGGTGGTGAGAAACACGACGGTGGGATAGTACTCGACCCTGCGGGGTGTTGTGGCGGAGACGGGACAACAGACGCCGAGGGCGCAGCAGACGTTGAACAACGTGTGCGTTTTCTCAACGGCTATAGACAGTGCTAACCGGCTGACCGATGACAAGATCGTCAGTCTTGTAGCGGGATAAAAACGCTGAGACGCTTTCTAAATCAAAGCGTTCTACCGACACGGGAGGTGCTTGAGTTGTTGGACACCGTGTATGTGTGTGTGTGGATCCCTTGTAGAGGTCTATTTACGGTCTACTCCGCCAATCAGAGGGCGTGAAAGTCCCAGACAAGAAGAGGCACTACTGCTGTAGTAACAGATCGGAAAAACTAAAACAACTGCCCTCGTATGTCATCGACTGCGCTGCGAGAAACCGGCCGGCTCGCGAGAAGACGCCAGAAAAACGATTTCAAGTCCACGGGTGCCCCGACAGAGATGAACATGATGATGTTTGACAGCTGACAAAGGAACGGAACAATGGCGAACCTATACGCATACTTGTACGTGAGTGGTGTGTACGTAACCAGCAATCTACAATCTACAATGGAACTCTCGCTGCTTGAGGCTTGTGCCAGTTCGTGTCCGCTACATATCCCATACAAGGCCCGTACAAGGTGTGCAAATCGTCATCTGATGCCTCGTGTTTCTTTGCAGGAACAGACTACATGGGCAACTTCCAAAGCGGAGCAGAGACATGGGCAAGGGATAGAGAGAGGGGCAATCCAGAGCGGCAGCCGTGCCGCTCGCTGTCTTGGATATCTACAACAACAACAGTTGTGGTGGTACAATCTACGTACACGCAGTTTCAAGAACAAGCGGCCCAATCAAAATTTCGCTGGCATTCCTAGCGTTTATTCCTTAATCATGTGTTGGGGGGATGGTCACTGCTGTGCCATCTGCTATTCAAGACGCAGAGACGGGTTTGTACGTCTACCAGCCCTTCTTGCACTAATCGGCACCCGCAACGTTTGTGCTGTTGCTGCTGCTGCTGCTGCTGCTGCTGTGAACACATGGGAACGTGCTCCATGGTACACTCCCCTCCGTTGCAACATGGATTTCAGCGCTGCTGCACACCTCGTCTGCCAAGCATGGATCACGGCGGTCGTCGCGACCAGGAAGCTCACGCCCGCGTAGGCGCCGAACTTCATCTTGGCGCAGTCGTGGTTTCCTACTGCTTCCAGTGCGTCCCGTCACCTCTGCTGTGCTACTCTCGGATGATGATGACGACAATAAGAGAGGCTATGAGGACGAATCTGTCCGCTTGCCAAGTGGCCGTCTGTTCGTCGCTTGTCGTTTTCTCCTGCCCTGAGTTGCCGTGACTCTGCCTCTCGACCTGGACTTAAGGCAACAACACGGAACCAAAACGATACGGACACTACAACGATGTACCGTGCCTGGGGCAATCTCCTCCACGCAACTGCTCCCCCTGTGTATCGCACACGCGGTTTGGTGCTGACAGCAGACCAGACCAACAGCAAGCAAGAGAGTCGGCCGGCCGCCGGGGCTCCGCCCATTGAGTACTTGATACCATCAAATTTTGAATTTGTTCCCTGTGCGAGAGCCCCCCGACAACAGCTGCTCGGCCTGCCGACGGCCGACTGCCTCACACACCAGCTTGCCTCTCGTCGCGCATACCCACACCACCCACAACACCTGGGAGAGCCTATACTATCTAGTGCAAACACACCAGTCACCATGCGATCAGGTGAGGCAGCTTGCTCGGCACCATTTGGCTGCGTTTGTTGGTGATTTCATAACTGCAAAAAGAGACACCGCTACTGCTCAGCCGATGGATTGGCGGGCTTATCGTGAGCCCCAAGTCTAGGCTTATCTTGAGCCCCCAAGTCTAGGGGCTGATGTAGGCTGAGCTCTATCGATCGCGTAGCAAGACTCGCCCTCAGAGCTTGTGGTTTATCCCTCGCAACTTCTTCAGCAGATTCCCGCTTCTCTCCCTCCCACACCTCTCCGTACAACGAAGGCAGACCCACACCCACCCGCCGCCGGTACATATGATAAGGCTTTGTGCGCGACCCGGGCGGTTAGTGAGTGTCTACGGGAGAAGCTGAACTTGCCACACAGCAGGAGCTCTGCCGTGTTGTGCTCATAAGGGCGTCGGCGGTGTCATAGTGCGTGCCTCCGCTCTCCGCTGTCGGATCTGCACCCCCTGTTTGATCCGTGAGTTGGTACAGGTAAGTTTATGGGCACAAATGTCTCCCCTGGGGGCGCGTTTACCGTTTTTCTCTGCTGCTGCTGGTCGTATTTTGGATCACTTCGGGTTAGCAGCCCAACCTGACTTTTTACTCTCATGAAAAATGCGCACTCCTTAACTTTTCTGCGACGTGTGGGTTTAAAACACGCGAGCAAAGGACGTCCTACAGCAGAATCTCGGGTTATCTGCAACACCCTCGATTGACTAACTTTTCTATCTGCTTTGTTTCTGGGTTGTTGCGGTGCAAACGTTGGAATCGAGAATGCCGTTCGGGCGTTTGCGTAGACTAGAGTGGCGCAATGTTGGAAACCAGACGTTCAAGAACCAGGGGCGAGAATTCCCGCTTCGTTTACACTAGAATACTTTGTCGATGAAAGATCAAAATGTTACAAGGTCGGAGTAGGACTAGGATCCATCAACCACAGACACTCGGGACGGTGTGCTGAAAAAAGTAATAACACGACGGAAAGTGTGGCACAGCTAGCCATTGCGGGCACAAACATCGAGACCTCATTTGTAAGTTCTCCGCTCTCAGCAGGTGGGATGCCATATATCGTCTACAATACAGAGTTGCGTGTAAGAAACGATTAGGGCAAGTAACGAACGGATCCCCCGCCCCCCGCACTATCATGATAACCCTCCGTGCGCAACCAAGATGATTTTGGCTGGGGAAGAGAGCGTGATGGCGGCTACGGCAGCGGTGGCGAAAGCCGTAGGCGCATCATCGACGGCGGCGGCGGCGGCGGCGGCGGGTTCAGGGGTAGCCGCGGCAGCGGCGGGGGCGGCGGCAGGAGGGTAATATCTTCGAAGCCCCTTGTTAGCAAGATTGGAGGGGGAGGTGCGGGAGGTGGAAGGAGGAGCCGCTCCGACGACAGCAGGGGAGGGGGAGGCGGAAGGAGTCGCTCGGTGGACAGCAGGGATGGACGTCGTCGCGGAGGGGCAAGGCGTCGACGGCAAGGGGGGGGGGGCGGCGGTGGTGGCGGCGGTGGCAGCGGTGACGGCGGGGGCGGGGGCGGCGGTGGGAGAGGCAGGAGGAGGAGAGGGTGGCGGGGGCGTGGCGGCGGGGGGGGTGGAGGTGGTGGAAACGGCAGGGAGAGGAAGAAGGAGTTTACGGTGGAGGAACTCGACCAACAGATGGACAACTACTTCCAGCGCGATGTGAGCCGACGCTAGCCTCTTGCTGCCGTCACTTACGACGGGAATGCAGCCCCCAAGTGAAAGCAGCAAGTACGCGATCGAGAAATATACCCTCGGGAAGGAAAGGGGAAGACCCCCCCCCCCATCCTTTGCGTTTGTACCAAACCGGGGTTTAGTTTTTGTTAGGGCTGCCGTTCATCCCATTCTCGGTTTGGAGCAGGGAAATCAGTTGTTGTTGCTGGAGTAGCAACGCGATCGCGCCTTCGCCTCCTGACTCAAATGTTCCGGCAGCAACGGATTGGGTAGCGCGGTTCCGTTTCCACCAATCGTCTCAACCAAGCCCAGTTTTTTTTTCTTGGGACAAGCTCCTCGGGGAGAAATTTCCGTGATGTTTCCTCCATGGAAGTCTTCGTCTCCCTGAATTCATGTTTGACGCCTGTTGTCGAGGAAGAAAACCATTGTTCTGAGTGGTAACCGGGAGGGAGAGATCGATCGCTGCCGGGGCTCTAAAACGAGCATCTTTAGCATTGCATTGTGCCTGCTGAACAAGCACGCCAGCAATGTACTTGTATAGGAACAAAGAATGTCGCCTTCATGCCAAGTCTTCTTCGAAGAATGTAACGCGGGTTCGTCGTCGTGTTTCTGTCATCCACGCCCACGCCGCCGCCACCCCTACGCTGCTGTCGCCGTCTCGGGCAGGAGGATAAGGAGGGAGGTGACGCGGACAGCGGCGGCAAGGGACGGGGTCGCAAAGGAAGAGCCCCCCCCGCTACCGCTGAAAAGCTAGACTCTGCCATGGACAGCTACTGGGGGAACGGAAAGGCCGCCGAGGCTGCCCCCGAGGGGGACGAGGTGTGTGTTTGCTGTAGAAATACAGTAGGTTTGCGGATGATACCACACCACCTTTGGACCGATTTCGGTATAGCCTTCGCAAGATTTTTCGTTGAAGTGAACATGTTGGACAATGCATGCAATCGGGGAAGTTGGGTTAAGGGGATGGGGTCTGCGTACCCCCTCCCTGTTCTATTTCTCCTCATCAACTTGATTCCGCGCGAAGGCGGTCCACCGATTTTCACCCCCTTTGCACCGATTTTGAAAGCTCGATTACTCCACGACGTCGAAGATGATCAAAAAAGAAAAAATATTCTTCAAGTTTTTCTAGAAGATCGTGGTGGGGTGCGCAAGAGAGCCCGCAACGTGGTCGACACTATAAAGGCGGCCTCGTACAGCGGTGGAAGTAACACACACTACCGCCTGTTATTGTAGGCAACGCCATGTAGTGAGACCATGTCGTGTAGTGAGGCCATGAAGTGTAGCCTCTCGTTGTAGCTAGGTTGGAGCACGTGGGTTCCTGCATCGCATTCGACTAGGCCCAGCCCTACATTCACACGCCATGACCTTCCTGTCTACGAAACATGCCGTCAAACGTCGAGTTTATGTCAAGAATGGCAGATAGGTGGTGGAGTGAAGCTAAGCGCGATCCGAACTGCTGTTGTGCATTGGGTTTGTGCTTGTATGTCTTGCCGTTTCGTCCAGAAGGGGAACGACGACGTGGCTGCGATGGAAGGGCAGGACGAAGAGGCGCCTGCTGCAGACTCGGCCGGCGGAAACTAAGGGTGGCAAGCCAAGAGGCGCGAGCTAAAGAGTCGAGGACTGCAGCAGGGAGCTGGGGTATAAAGCAAGGGGTTGAGGAGATTCAAGGAGCTGTTCTGGTGCCAAATCGGAGCTTTTTCGTGGGGGAGGGGTTCGGAGAATGAAGTCGCTCTTTTGGTGCCACAGCGTGGTGGCACTGTTCAGGGTGCGGGATGGGAAGGCCGTCGAGCACGTGTTTTGCTGTTCGGTGTATGGTCCTACGCTTACGAGCGAACGAGTAGTGGCCGGAAAAGGGTTAGCGTATCCCCCGCCCCCGGCCAGGGAGTCGCTTGTCCTCCCTGCTCCTCCGACCGGGTCAAGCACCGAACGGACGGACAGCCATGCACATCGATGAAAGCGTTTTGGAATTTTATCGCAGTCTGTGTGGCGGCAGCAGTAGTAGGTCCATTGGGCGTCAACAAATGACGATGTGATTACAGGAGAAGGGTCGATGTTGTCACTCGGCCCATCTTGAATGGCATGGCCTAGCCCCGTAAAACGGCTTCCTTTAGAAGTCGACAAGAGGGCGTAGAAGATACGCCAAGTTGTGGTCTGTAATGTTTGGTGTTACACCGCAGCAGGCCGGAGGCCGCACGGCGGACACAACAACGCATGTACCCGGCAGATAGTAGGCCTGTGTCGGGTGGGGGGGGGGGGGAGGTTAACTTGTTGATGAGTCTCAGAGCCTATGGCAAAAGGCACATCGGAAAATATGAGCAATAATCAAGTTTTTGCTTCCTTGTTGTTCATGTTCTGTAGCTTTTTCACGCACGGCATAAATCATCAGGGCCTATGCCTTGGCGTCGACGTTTCGTGAATGATCTTGGTACTTGGTAGGCTTGAGTTGAGCGTATGCCAGGCGTACGCAAGTGTAAAGTAAACACCATGGTGGGTGACAAAAGCGAAACGACGATCACCGCCCGCATCGGCTGGGCGTCGTCACGAGGACGCTCGGTCCCGAGCTAGATGCACCATAGGTCTGCTGCCTGCTGTGCGTGCCGGCCGAACCCAAAACCGTATCATCATTTTCAGCAACCAACAATCACAGCGTCTGTTTTGATTCATGTAGGCGCGCTACCATTCCATCCCGTCGCTGGATCAATCATGGGGCAAGCTGAAGAGCGTTCGAAACAGCAATACCTGAAGAATTTGCGGCTTTCTTGGAACCCTTACGGATACACGAGGCCGGGGAGTTTCCGCAGTCCGGTATTTTCCACCCACCAGGCCACCTTTTCGTGATAACACCCTGCATTTACAGGCCGTTCTACAGGTACTAATAGATCGACGGAACAAAGCGCCTCTTGTAGTAGTAGCAAGGACGTTCCGCAGGCCGGTATTTTCCACCCACCAGGCCGCCTTTTGGTGATAACACCCTGCATTTACAGGCCGTTCTACAAGGTACTATCAGATCGACGGAACAAAGCGCCTCTTGTAGGAGTAGTAGCAAGGACGTACGCATCAAGCTTGTTCACATATCGGCGCGTGTGTGTTAAGTATTTGTTCGATCGCTAGCAGAACGGTTCAAGAACGGTAAATATGAAGGACGTTATCAGGATCCTTCTTCATGTATCGGTTCATCTCTGAAAAACGTAGGCTTCCCGTGAACAGGTCGTGGTCTTGACACCCGCATACCGTTTCGTTTGCAAGGCATATTTGATCGCTGGGAAAAGGCCGTCGCTCACCCCCGTGTAGAAACACATCTATTTTCGCGGTAGAACGTGGAATCTAAGCCCTTCCCTCCGTCGCTGTTTCACGATACAGTCGTCTGTGGATTTTACCATAAGACACTCCTCTACCTGTGCCCACACAGTGCACGTATATAGTTCTAATCGGTCAGATAACCCCCCGCTCGTGCCACGAAAACTGCCTCAAAGGCATCCGCCACCACGCTGTGTTCCCCATCATGCCAACGCCTTCCAAGCTTCAAGGGAGAGCGCCCGACCCCGCCCCCCCCCCTCTAAACGCATCCAACGCAGTAACAACAGTAGACTACACATGGAAACCCCACTACGCCATGTTGTGGTCAACCGTGTCTACATCCTCCAGCTCTAACAGTGCTTCTACCGCCGCTAGGTTAAGCTCCATCGCCTCGTCGTCGACATCCGCGAGTCCTGACGGGATCAGAGCCAGGCCGGTCTCCCCCGTTATCCCTGCCTCACTCAAGGCACCTGTTGGCCATGGGGAAGGGGACGACGCGCTTTCAATTATGCGTGGCACCACCTGGCCTTGGACAACGGCGGGACGGGGGTAGCATCTACGGAAACTCATGTTTGCTCGCGTTTACCCTCTTGATCGTGGTCCACGTTTTTTGTTTTTTCACGGAGCTCACCGCGTGGTTCCTACAACCTCCTACACAGCCATGGTGTTCGATAGCAGCATCAACTTCGGCCTCGGCAGAGGGGATTGTGGAGGTAGGGAAGTTGTTGGCGACATGAAGGGGCTGTATCGCTAGCGAAACAGACGACGAGCCATACATGAAAGAATAACCAGTTCATAGCTACAATCCTGTCTTGTTATCATGCCGTTCGTGTATCTTCTGAGGTTCCTCGGGATCGGTCCGTCCATGTTTTCGTGTTGGCCTCGAAAACATTGGTGGGCCCCAAAAGTTCCGGGGTCACAGATAGCGCATAAGCCGGACCCACAAACGGCCCATGAAAAACACACACAACCGCCAGCACCAAAAACAGCAGCAACAACAACAAACCCCGACAATGTGGCGTACGTCCTACTCTTACCTGTCAGCGTCATGAGGTCCTTTGGTGTCGTGAGAATCCAGGACGTCCCCTCATGGTCTCCTTCCACCACCTCGACGTCGTCTACCCCGGCCTCGATCGCGGCCTCGATCACCTGGACCAGGCACACGCACAGCACACAAACAACAAAGGGGTAAGATTCAGGCACACTGACAGAAGAAGAAACAAAATACAAGGGTGAATGGCCTCTGGAGTGGACTCGTGAGAGCTCAGCAGTGTCATTAAAGGGTGGTGCAACATGAAAAAGAAAGGACCGCCTTCCGCGAGAAATTAGGTACAGGAGGAAAAAGAACAGGAAGAGGATACGCAGACCCCATCCCAAACCCAACTTCCCTGATTGCATGCTATATCCAAAATGTTCACTTGACAGAAAAAAACTGCGAAAGCTACTGAAAAGAAAACTACGGAGCCCCCAACCTTCACCTGCTCTTCGTCGACCTCCCCCTGCACTTCCACCCTCCCCCTCTTTTCGAACTGGAACAGCACCGACCCCTGTGCGGCCTGCTTGAGTCCTTGCTTTTTCCACACCGCCTTCACGTCTGCGATCGCCCGGTTCACGTTGTCCGTGAGGGCGGTGACAACCATCCCCGTGCCCCCGTGTCCGTACGCCTTGATGGTGTCAAGCGGGGCGGACGGGTCGTCAGTTGGCCGAGGGAATGGGGGAAGGGGCGGATGATTAAACTACAAAGTTGGCCGGTGTTCCTTCCACTCCCTGCAAGGACTTCAACGCGACTGCTTGCGGGTATATCTCGAACGGGCAGTGTTTCAGTGAACGTGTGGAGTATATTTAAAAAAAAAACTAGGGCAACGAAAAACAAAAACACACACGCAACCAAGTGCGGTGGCAGAAAAAAAAGAGTCACCTCGTAGATTACTTCCTTGAAGTCACCCTGAGACCCGTCGACCGCCCGCTTGATGGCCCTCGCGATGTTGTCCTTGGGCACGCTGTTGTGCTTGGCCTCCTTGATGGTGTCGGCCAGCTGCTTGTTGGTGTCCTCGTTCGGCCCTCCCGCCTTCACGGCCTGCAAGGCGCGTAAAGCGCAACGGCGACGTACGATGTCTTGGCCCTCGTTGCTGCTACTGCTGCTGCTGCTGCTGTTGCTATAATATTGTGGTTGTGGTTGTGGTTGTGGTCTTCGTATTCAAAACCGTTCCGGTCTCCGCTCAGTACCTCGCAATATCTGTACTGGTCCAACTGATGCGGACCCCTTCCCGTCGTCACATGCCAACTACCCCCAAAAAGAGGTATACCTTTCTACAAACCAAATAACGAATCAAAAGAACGCTGGTAAAGTAATGTGCACCGTGCATGGAGCAGCAGACGGCCGCGGCGCCGGGAACCTCCACGCCCAGAGCGTCGTTCGCGGAACGCCGATAGGACCTCGACAGTACAGTAGTCCCAAGCAGCAATGACGGAGCGGCAAGTACGGACGGTTTCGCAAGGTGGAGGACAACCGCCGACCCGCGCGATTCACTCCCGCTCTGTCGCACACTACGTGCCATCCGCATGTGTGCGTGTTTGTATCTTTTATTGCTAGCATCGACCGCGGCAACCGGCTGACCAATGAAAAGGAGTTAGTCGTTGTGCTGTTGAAACATAAAGCATCATCATCTGGGACCCCGTGAGGGGATGTGTGTGTTTGCCGACCTCAATCATCATAGCGTATTTACGCACTCACCATGATGATTTTTTTGCCGATCCTGGCGAAAGCCTTCCCGCGCTTGGCGTCCTCTCGCCCCTTCACCTTGGCTATCTTGGCGGCACGCCGACCCATCATTACAACCCCCGCCGCGCTCCTGGTAGAATGAATACAACCGTCCGTGCCCCCGAACCAGAGAGAAAGAACGGACGAGGGGGGGGGGGGGACCGTCGTGAGCGTCGCTGATACAATGTCTTCCCAATAAAACGGAAAAGACTGGCCACCGAGTGGGTGGCAAGGTTCCACCACTACAGTTAATAAGGTGCTGTGGAGGCCTTAGTATTACTCCTCGAACACATCGCCTTAACCGTTTTGCTCCACGAGTGCTCTCGCACATGGTTCTTGAACGAACCGTTCTCTCGGTTTTTCCGAAGTCGTTACCGGCCTTGAGCAAGACATCCCCCAATCGTGGCTGGTCGTCTTTCTGTCTCCTCTCTTATGCGGCGTCTAGGGTTGGTGCTTGTGACAATAACGGAGCACCGACTCGTGCGATGCCGGGCACCGAGGTTGAATGCAAAGGCAAGGGCCTCCATGCCGGATGGTATGCATACGACACACCAGCAACGGTACAGTGCTGTAGTACGTAAGCAAAGCATCAATAGCATATTCCGCCGCTGCACCGTCATCCTGCCCACCAAGAGGAACCCACTACAACAAGATGACATTGTTTGCACGTTGGGTCACATGAGCACATGACTTCACTGCTTGTCGCTACAGCAGTACTGCCGTTGTTTGGGGCATTCAGTCAACAAGGACAGCACATGTCGGCGGATATGTACTTGACATGCGGCGAGACACGCAGCATGCATTGAGGTGTGTACGTTCATGTTCAACGACTGAAGACCAAAACGTCGCAGCAGCTACAGAGAAAGGACTCGCTGTACTATTACTACCACGACGCTCGTCTGTCGCTGCCACCACCTATAGCCTATTGCCGACCCCAAGCGGCTTCCCCATACTCGACTCTCACGCGCGCAGCAGCCGACACACCCTGCTACCCTGCACTCTCGCGCGGGAAACATGCGCGAGGCCTGCTGCTGATTCGGTGTCTCTCCCAGCGGTAGCAGGAGCAATATGAACTATTCCCGTGCCACGACATGCCCACTGCATGGCATTGCTGCAAAACTGGTACATAGCAAGCTCTTCTCTCTCACCCGCGACCTGCGCGCTGCTGCTGCTGCTGCTGAGTGGGTTGATGTGACCGCCCATCATGATGCCGGCGTCCGAGCGCTGTGATTCCCTGGAGCTGCGAGGCGGTGGGAGCAATGAACGCCGAGATGCCGGACAAGGCGGCGGCAAAAAGGGCGCACCCCAGGCAACGAGCACCAACAGGAGCCATGCCCTTAAACCCAGTCACAGCAGATGGTGTGGGCGGTGGGTGGCGGAATGCGCTGCTGCAACAGAGCGACGGCGGAGCAAAACATTTCGCGTCACCCCCTTGCCGCATCTCCCGGTTGTGCACACACAACACCTTGACCTCTCTTTCGCTTACCATACCCAGAGATGAAATTCTTCCGCCACGCGCTCCCGGCCTTCACGGTTGCCCTGGGCCAAGTGTCCGCCTTTGTCACCCTCCCGGCGCCCCACCAGGTTGCCGGCGTATCCAGGCGGCAAGGTGTGAATTGAAACTCAAGGATGGTGATTTCATGATAAACATGCGTTGAGTTGATCTGTGTGCGGTTGCCGCAGCGTCAGTTGACACACGATCCACTGCCAGCCGCTGGCACGGCTTGTGGCATGCTGCCTGCCGTATGAAAGGTTATTGTGTGCTGGGACGTTTTGGTACCAGCATTGCGTACCGTCTGCAGCAGTCTAGCATGGAGTTGCAGTAGATCTGCCACACTGCTGAAATACAGTTGCAGCAGTTCGCGCTACACGAGGCAGTTGCAGCCGTATACCACATTCTAGCCTATTGAGCATAGTGTAGAGTCGTCAGCCTGGCAAACGTGCGGAGTGGTGCAGGTGCTGAGGGACGCAAATCCCACCAGTCCCTAACACCAACAGGTTGCTGTAGTAATCATTAAGGAAACATAGTACTTACACACACATAAAGACTACCCATTCGATCATCCAAAATAAGTACATGGAAATAACCAGGCTGACGAATAATATCCCGCATCCCCCAGACACCGCGACGCCACCGGGCGTTGACACGTGGTGATTCTATGCATGCATCAAGCCTACACAACACACAAGTCAACGCCCCCGCCCGGCGTGCAACAGCGGCTGCACTGGCGAATACGGCGGCACTTTTGTGTGCTTAGGGTGTCAGGGCGAACTTCCTGACAAAATCTCCTTTGCTTTGCGTTATCTGTATTATCTACAGTATCTAGACGCATGGCGTCTGGAGTACATGTATTCACGCCGCAGCCGCCCGCGATCGACAAGCTGTGCACTGCAGCAGTGTACCTATTTACATCTAGCGCTTTGGCTGCCAATTCGCGCTTTCCAAACACAGCGCAGTTGTGCTGCTCTGTTGAAGACCCAGTAACCCCTGCTGCCCCGCAACTGGTACGAAAGGCAAGCACCAGGAAAAACGCAAGCCAATACCAAAAAGGCAGGAAAAATGGGGAAATGGAGGAAGAGGAGGGCTGGCTAGGAGAGCAACACTCGACGCCCGAAAGAGATAGCAGAGTCACTGCACGAATTCCCGCGGCCTGGCAAGGGTCTCAAATTGCATATCGGCCTGATAGGGGTGCGTGTGATTGTTTTACATACATGCAGTCACAGAGAGACTATCCGTCCAAGACACAACCATCGTCGAACGGGATGGGGTTGAAGTATTTTTAGTGAATGGGGGAAGTACCCTGGATATTGTTCTTACTTTGGGTTTTTGGTGTTGGTTGCGCAGGCACTTTAAGATTTTGCATTTTAAGAAATTGAGCCTAATTGACAAGATCTGAGGACTTTAGCACCCTTTGTGAGCTCCGTTAAGACCCCCTGCACGAAAGGCTATAGCGTCCACCCGTAGCATGACCCCAGACAATGAGAACCTCAACCCGAGGCAAAAGCGGGCGCGTTCCTTACCGGAGCAGCTTTGCTAACGGCGGAACATCTCAACACAACCCGCGCGCGGAATAGTTCATCTCCTCAACTCCCTCGAGGACGGCTCCATCCTTCTCCCATGTTTTCTCAAGATCTCAAGCGTGCCTCTGTTTGGAGTACGGACGGCACTTTGCATCGAAATGGACGCCTGACTCATGGTCAAACTACGTGATACCCATTAGGCCAGAACCTCTCCCCGAACAATCAACCGATGGCGTATCTCGTTTGGTTCAGCAACCGCAAGGAGGATAACCAGCTTCTGGTGCATCCTTGTGAAACGTGTCCTGCGCCGGCGGAAACCCGCGCCCCGGCATTGTAGCGATGCGCGGTATGGTATAACGTCTTTGGCATGCGTTTACATGAGTACACCCCGCCGTGTCCGATGCTCCCTCAGCTGCGAAAGCATGGACGAGCGCTGCCGGAGCGGGGTGCAGAAGATCGGCCTCTTCCACAAGTCTGAGCATGGGAGTCTTCGACGACGTCACCGCCGAGATGAAGGCGTCCATGAAAAGCGGGGACAAGCCCAAGTAAGGCAATGTTCTGGAAGTTGTTGAAACTGTCATTGGAGGAGTGGGTGGGAAACCTGCCGGTGCTGCTTGTGGTGGTGGTGGAAGTGGGCATCGCTGTTGGCAGTGACGTTGTCTGTTGTTGTTTTTGTCGGTGGACTCTGAACCCTTCCCGTCCGTTGTTGCGGTGGCCACACTTGTCGGCGTGGCCAATGGAAACCTCGGCGGTGTGCATCCAGGCTTCGGGCGGATGCGAGTACTGTACCCAAAAGACAACGCGCATGCCGGGAGGAGTATACCTCACCCTCGTCCCCCCGGTGCGTCTTTGCGTTGCATGCAGGCTTGAGGGTTTGCGGATGGTCCGGGCGGCGTTTTTGACGGAAACCAAGGCGGTGAGGGCCCACAGATTTGCCCCGGGAGCGGGCGTGTTGTTAAATGAATGTAGGAGGACAGGGCAGACTACTTGAAACTGGTGTCCGGGTGTGGTGTGGACGGAAACGGCTTGGGGAAGAACCCGATCGTACTAAATAGGTGGGGGACAGACCAGCTCTCTGAAAACTCGAGTTTGCTGTTTACGAGCGCAGGATTCCTTCTGCCCACAAGAGGTGCACGGGCGTGCATAGCTCATCCTTGCATGTTTGGCCGAAACGGGATATGCAGCCGATCGATGAGCTAGTTCATGAAATTGTCCGTTGTGTGACACGTTGTTGTGATATCATGTTTATAGTCCGCTCGGCATTCGCATACCCCACATTCGCAAAAAGTGGTGTTCGTCTCAAGTACGATCTGCAATTACTTGAAGGAATTGAGTCGTTGACAGTTTGAGTCAGGTTTGTTGGGTTTGGCAAAAGCGGGTCCAACGAGTATCTGGTATGCAAGTGGCAAGGATTCGATGCTTTGATGGAATACCTGTGGCGTTTTCGTACGCGCTCACCGTGCTGGTGATGTCCGCGCATGTTATCACATGGTAATTTTCCAAAACACACTTTTCCAAAGGCGGGGTCGGGGGACAAGCTTCCAGACGAAAAGTGCATCGCCATCCTCCGAAAAATGTCCAAGCAGCAGCAGGAGTCGATCGACATGTATCGCAAGGGGAAGCGTGACGACCTCGTAGAAAAGGAGACCAAGACGAAGCAGCTCATCGACGCGATGCTTCCTCAGGTGTGAGACCGATGTGTGTGAGTGTTGGCATGCGCACGTACTGCTGTAGGCTTTTCGGTTGACGTCGTCCACGCTGACCTTCTGCCAGCAGTGAAAGAGGGACTACATATTCTCAGGGGGTCACGAACCTTCGACGTATGGCGCGTTCGTCGATAAGTTCATTGTTTATATTTTCCCTATTTGAACCGTCCTGACGTCGATTGAAAGTCTCTCCCGTAATTGTTGCTGCCCGTTATCTTAATATGGGTTTTGAGGCCTATAGCATAAGGACCTCGTCGGGGCTCTGTGACCGAACCCTTTTAACTCTCCTTGGTATGATGTGCTGAGACTGTTGGTGGCTAAATTGTTGTGCGCTTCGGCTTATGGACGAAGAAGGAGCTCTCATACCGGCAGCAACGGCGACAACAGCATTAAGGTAGTTTCAGCCACTTTTGTATTCATGCCCCACCCTTCCGTTCCCGGCGCCGTCGGCGTGGTTGTCGTGGCACCCCCCATGTGCGCTCCCCCGGCAACAACATGTACCCGCGCCCAAATGGTCAGCTCGCGGACGAGGCGACGACTCAAAAATGGGTCGATGAGGCAATCGCGTCGGCCGGCGCTAAGGGTCCGTCCGACATGGGGAAGGTACGGGCATGGGCTACATTCGGGGCAAGCAGCTTGCAGGATGGTTTTCGAGCTGTTACATAGTGGTTTCTCGTTTGGGAATTGTTCACACACTGAAATGCCTACTTAAACGCCTGCTTTGTGCGAACCGGCGTATCCTCGAATTGCTTCAGCATTTTCGAGGACCCTCGGGCACAAGAGGCAGGCTTGCATCGTTGTTGGTCTACGATCCTCAAGGACAGGCTCATTGGAGAGAAATATCAGGGTTCGAGCACTAGCTAATGGCATGAACCGTCCGTCCCTGAATGTCACCCTGCCTCCGCTCGATTTCGTATCCGCGTTGGCATGGGTCGAAGTCTCTACAACATAGTCTGACGTGGCAAAGGCCTAGACAAGGGTATGAAACGATGATCTTGTGGATTTTTTTCGGGTCTTTTCTTCATTTGGTCACGTGTCCGACAGAATGGATCGGATAGTAGGGTCCCCAACTCGCGCAATTTCACCCCGAAAGTGCATTCTCCCCGCCTAGAAAACATATTTTTTCTAATCTTGCTGGCATACCCGTGCACCAGGTGATGGGCCTCCTAATGAAGGCGCACAAGACGGAAATGGACGGAGGATTGGCGCAGAGGCTTGTTTCCGCTCAGCTAAAGGGCGCATGATCTCTGATCGTCCAGCGCTTGGGGGATCTCTTTGCGTAATCGTTTCCGCTTCGTTTTGGCTTGACAGACGATGTGCGGTGTGACTTCTGCTTTTGGGCGAACCGCCTCCTTTGATAAACGAAGTTTGGTTTGGCCATTTCCTCGCCTTCTGCACGCAGGCATTACGAGGGCATAGGTTTGTAGCACCAACTGAGGTGGCAGCGTCTAGTCTCTGGTTTTCACCTAGAGCGGGCAGGTGCTATTCAGCTTTACACGTAACTGGTTCTCTTCCTTCCGCAGTAAACGTCGGTCGATTCAAGTCGAATGTTCCCACGCGCGAATCGTCCACGGTTGAGTATCCCGGTTCTTCCAAGGCCAGGTCATCACCTGCCAGCTGTGGCTGGCTATCAGGGCCTCAATGTTGTAGTCCACCGCGGATACACAAATGTCATTGCCCCGCGAATACACGGCACGGTTGGAACGAATCCAAACGCCCACAAAGTGTCATCGGGATGTGGTTTCCCACGCGAGAGCTGTGCGGTGGAAACCTACTCGGACTCGGGCTGGTCAGGCCATCCGTTCGAATCGCCAACACAGAGTCAGCGGAAGGTGCTGTCTCATGCGAGACTTGTACGACAGCAACCTCGAACTACCTTCGTAGGGGCAGGTCACGGCAAGGGTTCCACGACCTGGCCACAGCGGACGAGTCAATGGCTGTCCCCTAGAATATGAGGTGGGCGATCATTAGAGATCTCAGTGAGCGCTACATTTTCCCGAGAGACCGAAAATGAAGCAGCGTGTTCGAAAGGGCAATGGTTCGCAGACGCCAAGCAGAAACGCCCGGACATGGTGCATCAGTAGTTCGATGTTTTCGATGCACTCTTGCCGCTTGCGCACTTTTCATGGGGCGCGTCGCTGTCGGCCCAGATGTAACTGTTCGAAAGCATGCAGTCTAGAGGTTCCAAACTGCGACCAGCCGGCCCCTGGGAGGGAGGGTCAAGCATTCGCCAAATCAAGAACAACAGGCAGGCCAAGATACGCACCAAAGGGGACCGACATCTCGTCGGACGAACGCTACCACAGGAGAAACCCGCGTGCCCGTTTCTGGCGAAGGGATGAGCGCGAGGGTGGCAGCACGGAGTGGGGAGGCCAACACCGAGGGATTAGCGAACAGTATCACGAGGAGACACAACCTGCAAACCCTTCCCGTGGAACAAGCTGGGGGGGGCAGTTCGAGAAGAAGCCGTTGAGTTGGACAGACGTTGGTCCAGAGGTATTAACAGTCGTAAGACGTAAGACGGCATCGACATACCCCCACGACAGCACCATCATGCACTGCAACTTGGGGGTGGAAGAGGACGACAACTCTTGGGGAGACAAGCTGTTGGATACAGTACTGTATCACTGTATCACAGTATCAGATATCAGGTCCACGAAAATGCGGCAGAACTCTCCGACAGTCCCGCAGCGAAAAAGTCGACGATTGGTTGACGAACAGCAACACGGGAAAGCCACCAAACGACCAAACGACAAAAAGCCACCAGAGAAAAAGGTGGTCGTTGCCCCGTGCTCTCTGTGGTGTTCAAGGTCGCACGCGCTTTGTGTTCCGTCCAATATCGGCGAAATGGATAGGAAAGTGCCTCACAATGACGCGCCGCAAGGACCATTATGAGAGATCCTGCTCGTCTTGGTGGTCCTCGAACTTCTTCTGAATTGGTCGGCTATGTCGGGTCCCGACGGGAACGAGGAACACCCCCGTTCCGAATGGGGCGAGGAATACGATGGCCGGGTGATCGTGGCTGTTCTGGTGATGTTTGCTATCACAGCCTTCACCATCCTGAGCTTGTTGTACATTTTCGTGATGTGGCGCATCCGGCACAACTTCTTCATCGCGATGAGGTACAGGAGAAGAAGCAGCTGTAGCTCTTGCCACCGTTTGGGGCGACAGCAGCAGTCTACTGTAAATGTTCGTGCATAAAAACCATTAAGCAGCCTAGACCGGCCGTCGTCTCCACCTCTAGGTCGAATCACTGGAAACGTTTCTACGCGGTACGTGATATTGTGTCTAGAAATGCGTAAGGATGTTGCCGATCGTGTTATGACGCAGAATACAGGCGATTCTCGCCATCGTCTACGCATCTTTGCTCCGAAACCACGTGAGTCACAACCATATGAATTAGAATACCGGCATACTTCTACAAATCACGTCATATTTACATGGACAACAACAGACTACAATGATGCCTTGATTGGTGATCTAGGTTTCTTTCTGTGTTGATTTCTGATTGGCATCGCGTGAGCAGGCAGATGATAAGTCGTTCTTCACAAGGCCAGTTAATTTATTGTCGATGAAGACATATTTCCGCCGCGCGAAAAACAGGTCACCACTACTAGCGTGCGGGTGCGGGTTTTGCCTCTGCGTTCGCGGGTGGTCGGCCACTCTTGAGTACGTCGTGGCATGGGGCGGACGAGCTCCCACGGACGACGGTAAGGCAAGCGGATCCGAACACCTTGCTTGCTGAATACTCGAGAATCCCAGACATAGCATCTGCCTAACCTTTCGGAAGTTGTGATCTTTAATCGACGTATGGCTACAACGTTATCTTATCTATGTTGAGGTTGCTGAAATATCTATTGTGCGTGGTGCCATCGGTCAACACCTGTCCGGTATCCAAGGCCCGAATACTCGTATGCCGTGAATTTCTCATCGTCAACGACGGTTGCAATTGAATTTTTTCCACTCGAAACTCCCAATATACGTTCCGTGATTCTTGTAGGGATCGTCGACCTGGTTGGCCTGCCTATGGTGTTGTGCGCCGCAGCACTAGCAATCATGCGTGCTTTCCGCGTCGTGCTCATGTACTACCCCCACCGGCGGAAAGCTTGGGGGCGCATCCCGAAGGAAAGGATGATTTTCACTGCCACCCTCTGGGCGTATGTGTTGATGGAGATCTTGGTTTGGTCGGCAGCTGCGGTGTTTGGAATTCCGCGGTGAGAGGGGGTACAGTGAGCTTCTTGCCGGGGTTTCTGCTGAAAGCAAGTCTGCTACGTGACCGATGCACCGTCGGCCTCTGATGCCGGACGTGGTAGATAGTGTACTGCCCGTCGTGTTGGATCGTGACACTTTTCTTCCTCCCTAGGATGAAATGAATATTGACCACGCTCCTTCACTCTTGCGTCGCCTGTCTTGCCATCGCAATAGTCATCGCCGGGCCACACTTAGACTATTGGTAAGAACATTGCCCAGAAAGGTTAGCGTCGTGTCGCCAAGCGATTATCGTGCCAGAACCGCGCGGTATCCACCATTTCGCGCTGGGGAAAACCGTGTCTTCCGTCAGTGACGGTACGGCCATGCGACAATCTGTGTGTGTGTGTGTGTGTGTCACACTTCGGCCACCCTCAACATCCCTTGCGACGTAGTATGTGTTATGTCACACCACGCAGCGCTCACGTACGGCCCAGAATGCGATACAGGTATACAACGCGCGCCTCCGGAGTGGGCTCATCAGAGCATAGTAGTAGTGCCATCAAGGCGTGATGCAAGATGAAGTAAAGCATGTATTGGCGTGAAGAACCTGCCAACTGCCATCAGTGGCGTTTCCCAGGCTCGAACAGCTCACACAGCGAAGTGGTTGTGACTCGAAGAACCCAGGGAACCTAAACGAACCTAAAAGAAAAAAATCACAAGTCAGTACACCGTCCTATTTCGCTTTCCTCTTCAATGCCGCCCTCATTCACTTCATGTTTGGACCTCCACCGCAGCGCTGGTGACGCCACGTCGAGCATAGTGGCACCCTTGGCGAGTACGGTGGCATTGGTGGCAGGGTTTTGGTTGGGATGTCAGTTGCGCAAGGTCGATGACATGTGCAGCGTGAGCACCGAGAGCCTAAAGATCGGGGGCTTCATGATAGGCTCAGCAGGTGATCAAACTTACGAAGCGTACATGGCGTCCAAGAACGGACTTGATATAACCAGACCCAGCACGCAGCAGAACGTGGCCAACACGTGTGTGTGTGTGTGTGTGTGTGTATTTCTTTTTAGCATCGTGCGTGTGATTGCACCATTGGGAACCAAACCATCCACTTTCCAGAACATTTCAAACACTGTTGCTACGAAAATGCAACTGGTGCAACGGAATCAATCAATTTCCTACTTGGTTGGAACTGGCATCAGTTACAGTACGGCTGTGTAGCAGCCGCCTCTCGTCACTGATAGCATCAGGGCATGGCCTGGGTCGCGAGTCGCAACGTTCGCCTCCGCCTTCAGCACGAGCAGAATTTGACAGTTGAAACAATGGTAGCAAGCGAGAGACGTGCGATCGTGTGTCGAAGGTCGACGCTTGCCACCGAACTCAACCACGGCTTCGTCCGGGCTGCTTAATCTTGCTATGACCACATCATGTGCCTTTGTCATGTGGGTTTGCCCTCGAAAAGGGTTGCTATTCTTGCGGCACACCACGGTAGAAAAAGGCGGGCATTCGCGGTTCTCTTTTAAGAAATAGCCACCCTCTCCACGCATTGTTCTTGACGTGAAACGAATTTGCGAGAGAGGAGTCTTCATCCACCATCGTAGAAACATCACCGCTCAGTCCGAATTAGCACCGTGTGACATCTTCGTTATCCCATAGCTCATATACAAAATTTTGCTATGATACAAGAACTACAGTACTCCCGCTGACTTCTCATGGCAAAAGGGCGTTGTGTGTATAACCCCTTGACGATAATGTTCGGGAGTAAGACAGGTGCACTGCTCTAGCATGAGCAACCGCGACATCTACACAATATCGAACATCGACACCAACTTGTGCATGTCGCTATTGAAGTTACTCATACGTGCACGCTGCGTACATCTCGACTTGATGGTATACTAGTTTATTTTCTCGCGTGGTGTCATCCAAACAGGTCTCTATGCGACAATACTGCTGGTGCCTATGCAGCCGTTGGCCTTCAAGTACGCGCACGTGGCCTACGCAGTCGTCAGCTACAGTCCAGTAATCTGGATCGTGTAAGTATGCCTTGCCT